AATATATGTGATCAGTACTATACTTATATGATTATGTGATCAGTACTAGACTTATATAAATGTATGACTTACATGAATATATGTGATCAGTACTAGACTTATATGAATATATGTGTTCAGTACTAGACTTATATGAATATATGTGATCAGTACTAGACTTATATGAATATATGTGTTCAGTACTATACTTATATATGAATATATGTGATCAGTACTATACTTATATGAATATATGTGTTCCGAACTAGACTTACATGAATGTATGTAATCAGTATTAGACTTATATGAATGGATGTGATCAGTACTAGACTTATATGAATATATGTGATCAGTACTAGACATATGGATGGATGTGATCAGTACTAGATTTACATAACTATATGTAATCATCATCCCTCTACTTTTATGAATATATTGATCGCCACGACGATTAATCCTGAAAAATCAATACCGTATACATTCAAACTTGTTTGCTGGGTGCAAACCCATCTTCAAATCATATAGGACCGCACCTGCCCTATCCGAAGTGATGCTTCAATTGCTGTTTATTTATTTTGTTAGTCCTACTCATCGGCGAACAACATGAGAACAAGGAAGCCAATCCGTGCAATACAGGCCCTCCCTCTACCAGCGACAACCCCCGCAGTTCCACGCACAATACACACTCCCCAAGAACAAAGCCAAGCAACGGGTGTATGTGTGAGCTGCTGTAGTAGCCCCACGACACACGCGTTTGCTCAGACACGCATGGGAATAGGTCTGAGTACGCATGTGCATTGTGTGTGCAGCTTATTTCTTCTCAGCGTCCTTAACGGCCTTCTGTAGCGCTACGGCGACGGGGTGATCCTCGGGGTGCTTTCGGATCTCCTCCTTCAGTAGCCTGATTTTCTCAGCGTTCTGGGGGAAGGTGCATGGGTATAGTGATGGAGAATTAGGACAAGATATGAAAGAAGCATGGGTATAGTGATGGAGAATTAGGGCAAGATATGAAAGAAGCATGGATATAGTGATGGAGAATTAAGACAAGATATGAAAGATGCATGGAACAAGATATGAAAGATACATGGATATAGTGATGGAGAATTAGGACAAAAGACAAGGAAAAAAAAAGATAATATAGACGGATCACACGGTTAGAGAGGACTTTGTCAGCATATTACTGTTCAAACAAACCTTTGGACAGATATAGTATTGTACATGCCTATGTATTGACATATCTAGAAACAGAAGTGTATGCGTGTGGCGGTTTATATGTATAAGAACTTCAAAATGATATTTTCTCCATAATTGTTCTACTTCTAACGGCATCTGGGCTGCAGCATATAACAGATTAAACACATAATCCACAAAGACACACGTGCTTGTATTTACATATCCGAAATAAACTCAAAGATTCACATCTGAATGGGACACCATTTATTAGTACACGAACATACACAGACACATGTACATCTCAGTACACAATTAACAACAACCAAACGAGGGACATGCATTCGCATATCACGTGTGGTCAAACATATGAACAATAAGGTTATTAGATTAGAGTGCATATTTGAAACTGTATGGTCGCTGATGCCTGGTTGTAAACATTCTGACAAGTAACCTGTACTTTTATTTTAAGCAAGCGATACCTATATATAAACAAAATACATATCCAAAATCAATTACTAGTGAAAGGGATAGGTAATATATATTCATACAAAACATATATGTAAATGGGTGCGCGGGGCCGTAGGTGTGTGTGTGTGGTTATATGTACTCACATGTAGATAACACTTAATGTGAATGAAAATTTGTATATGAATGTGAATATATACAACTATGCAGGTACTTGATCTGAATACGAAAAAGATCAAATAGTGCATCGTGCACTTTCAAAGTATAAAATGTTGTGTGTAGAATTATACAGTATCTATACAGTCAAAACTACGATTGATACATCCACGCTTACAAATTCACAACTATATATGTAGGATTGCATACATCAACCAGCACACAGACATACAAAAGCAAACACAAATATAGCGAGAAAGTTAGACATGATAGTATTAATATTGACAATAACAATAACAACACACATATATATAAATGTTTAAAAATTTATATTTGTGTGCTTGTAAGTGTCGGAAATATAAGTGTATGCTGATAAATGAAGCTGTGTGTACGCGATCTACACTGAAAGTAAGGCAAAGGGACATTATAGCCATCCAGAAAATCCATGCCGCAAGCGTGCTACATATATGTCACTTATGTATCACGACGAACTAACACGAGGATCACACATAAACAATGTACAGGCAGACAAAGACTATCACAGGTTCAAGTAAAACTCTCGAAATCCCCAACTAAGTACATACGTCGTCAGCCATGTATTTTCCCTCCTGGGCGGCTCCCTTCTTGGCAAAAGCACCTCCTGCAGTACACAAGCGTGAGATAATATTAATATGGTTTATTTTTATAACCAGTTACGTTACGACCACAAAGAACGCTGAGAATACCATGGCTTAATTGCAGTTCAATTTAGAGACTGAATCTAACGAGACAGAAGCTGTTGTGTTCATAATTCAATAATACCGAGACGTTTAATTGATTTGTAATAGTCTAACGGTTTGAGATTTATATTAGAAAACGAAGTTATCAGTCGACAGTAGCTTCGTAAAGCAATAATACTTAAAAACGAGGCGGAAGAGAATAGTAGGTAAAGTAAAGGAATATTCGTGACAGGGACAGGGAATACTAATAGTTACCCACAAAACACTCTACACAACAAAACCATAGAAATACGCCAATACGCTCTTAGGCCTATAAGGTGTAATTATCATACACGTTTAGAATTTTCTGCAACAATAGCGGTAAATACGGAGCTGCCAGTCTTGACACAGCACTAGGGCATCTACGATCGCGAGCACACCCAACAGCAATAAACTAGCGTAACATACCGGCATCTTTGATACTTCCAGCACTGCGCATAGGCATGGCACGTGCGGCCGTTCGCATTAGTCCAGCTGACTTGAACATGGTTGTATATAAAAGAATATATATATTACGGATCAGTATAGTACTTCTGACTGTGTGTTTCCGTATGTGTTGTTTATATATATATATTTTATAATTATTTAAATAGTCCTAATAGAGTTGCCATTTTAGCCAACCATGGGCCTGAAGTGTTCCGCTATTGAAAGGCCATGTCTGGGCCAAAAAAAGGAATCCACCCTAAACTATTTTTAGGGTACAGCGAACACTCTATCTGCAAAGGACAGAAGGTTGGATACAAAAAACTAAGGACCAATTTGTTCTATAAAGAACTCAATTTGTCCTATAGTTAAAAACCGAGTCAAAATTTACTGAAATAGCCATAGAGTAATGCACATCACTGACTTTTTTATAGGTGAGGATCTTCCCGGCCCTGAATGTTGTCAGTATGCCCTTGAATATGGACCAAGGCCCTTTTTTACCCTTTTTTGGTCAACCAACTGAGCATTCCTCAGTTGTTCTCCCACAGCCCCAGAGATCAACAGTGAGCAGAGCACAAAATAGAGACTTTCCGCACCGGTCCAAACTCCAAAGTGACCCAAAGTCCAATCTCAAATACTTTTTTTTCTAAAACAAAAAATAGCCGCTTCTGTATTGTTGTTTGGCGCATAAGGTTTATTTTAATAAAACCCCCAAAAAAATACGAACAAACTAAAAATAATAAAAGAAAGAAAGAAACAAAACTTCCAAACTTCCAAAGCCTTCTTCCAATCTTCCATAGCCGGCTGCTGCCAGATGCCAAATGTGAGCTATTTTTTAAATTTTTAGATTTGTTCAATTTTCAGAAGGCATGAGTTTCAGAGATTGTCTCTATAGAAAGGCAGCGGGTTCTAAATAATCAATAATATTTCAATACTTTTGTGGGTGTCGAATATGTAAATACTAGAGAAATCTTGAAACCAACATAAATAGAGCCACCTACACTCGCCACCTACGGTTCTAGCCACCTACACACGCCATCATAATTAGTGCATACAGTAATCATACTTGGAATTTATATATATATTTTTCACTACATACACTACACAAATTGAATGAATTAATATTAAATTAAACATAAATACAAACTGCACTGGACTGAAGTTTAACCCTCAATGTTTACTAGAGCAATACTTTACTAGTTAGTTCCTGGTATCTTCCCACTTTACTAGCTAGTTCTTGGAAGATACCACGACGCCAACAGGGTAACAAACTATCGAGGCGGCACTCGTTGAGAGGTAAATATGAATTGAGAATGTTTGTGGCAACAGTGGGGTGTGCATTTCAGTATTTTTATATTTGAATATGTTCTTAACCGGGATAGTCTTCTCACACTAAATATGAATTAAACATGAATACAAACTGCGCAGCTCTGAAAACTCTCGCGACTACAAGCAACTCGATATTGATTGGCTAAAACATACATTTTTCGTCGGTGAGAAATGTAGATTGCACTAATAGTTGGTGTCACATGTCAACTTGTGTCAACTTGTCACTATCAGTGCCAAAATTTAAATATGGGTCCTAGTGATTGGCTAAAACATACATTTTTCGTAGGTGGGAAGTGTAGGTTGCCCTAATTGTGGTGGCGTATGTAGGTGGCTAGAATCGTAGGTGGCGTGTGTAGGTGGCCATATTTATGGTGGTTTTAAGATTTCTCTAAATACTATTGTACTTGGTCTTGCACTTGTGCATTTTTAAATATAGCGTCTGGGTCATGATATAAGCACAATGGTCGAGTGCATAAGATTGCTGGAGATACTAAGTGGCGTTAGTTTGCATGTGTTTGATCAATTATTGATTCAATACTCTAGTAGCGGGGTTCTTTATTTTGTCGGCAATGTGAACGGATGAACACGCTGTAAAGGATTTGAAGTGTGTCCGTTTAGATTTACTGAAACTTAGTTTGCATGTGTGTACACATCATGTGGCTCGTTACCTCCAGTGAAGGATCTCAACTAAAGTCAATATTTTCACAGGAAGTTATTATTCTCACTTTTTTACATGATGCATATGCCAGAGAAAACAAAGACCCTAAAAGAGGCAACGATGGTATGGGTCAGTGGTTCTTGACATAATAGGTATATTTCATAGCCTTCTAAATAAACAGGTTGTGTATATTTTTATATTTTAAAACAGGCCGCCACTGTTGGCAGCAGGGAATAAAAGTTATCTTGAATACGAGTTTCACACTGTATGCACAATTCTAAAAACGGTGTTTTCCTGAGTATTCAATTCTATCTCATGCCTCTAGTTCAATAACATATCGTACAGTATTAATACAGGCAATGGCATTTTGTTTTGCTATCGAAGGAGTCTAAATAGTTGCACACATGTCTTAAAAAATGCGACCTCTTTTTAAAAAACAAGAATTCGTAGTGCTAAAGGAGGTTAAGAAGCAAGCAAAATGAAACACAACTACAGGCGAGTAAATTGATTGAATCGGAATATCAACCGTGGAAATTTCATTGCGTCACAGTTTGCCACTACTCAGACTGATCGGCCAGTCGGATATGGCACAGATACGTGTATTGGTCAAATCACATTTTTAAGTGCCTTGGGGCACAATACTGGAGTTTTATGACGGTAAACAATGACATCTGATAAAGTTGAAGGACTGTCTGCTATTTCACTACGGATTTACCTGTTGTGACAATCTTGCCACTGCTTGTGCAGCAGTTGTGTCCTTATCATTTGCATTTTGATGTTGGGTACTTTTTGGCAGAGTGGGCTGAGTAACAGACTGTCTCGAATCCTAGTTTTCCATTGAACTAGAGTACAACCTTCGGATAATGTGATGGAAAACTTGGTGGGTTGGCAGTAGGGACGAATGCATATAAAACTGTTGTAAATCACTATCGGTTCTCATAGCTGTCTGCCCTGGCTGAAGCCTTGGCTAAAGGGTCTGATTTTATTGTTTCGTTTGACGCAATTGTGTATTCTATAACCAAAGCTAAAGTCTAGCTTCACCATGCAGCAGTGGCCATTGCTCGATCGTGTTATATACTCCTCCCTATTTCATCAAGCCTTAAATTCCGTTTGCGGGGCGGAGGTGGTGATCAAAGAAATGGTGCGCTCTAACAACTGGATAGATCGGATTTTACTGTCGTCATAGCGGTTGCGCTAATAATTTCTCTTACCAACAACAACGGTGAGAAAATAATGGCTCAGTTATACGAAATCTACAATACAAATACCCGGCTGATGCTTGCGGTGTTGTCCGTCGCAGCCTTGTTTGGGTCATTTGTTGTACTATGTCTCGAGGTGATTTCTGCGCCAGCGGTCCGGATATTCGTAGTGGTCTTCGCTTTCTTCCTCATACTCCGCCAGGGGATATGGAAAAGCCTACAGGAACTTTCGCAGCATATATCAGAGTGTTTGAAGTCGTTCCTGTATCAAGGAACATATCTAGACTTATCGAGGGGCATTCTATTTGCCTTTATAGCAGCAACTGGCGAAATCTCCGTTCTCGAGAAACTCTTTCTCTCGGCAGTGGCAATTGCGATTTTTCTCACCGACCGGTTTTGAATATCAAGCTCATCACGGGCTGATATCAGGTGATTTAACGGATTCTACAACAATACACAACATACATACAAGGAGTTCTCAGCCATATGCAGTATGTACACATCTATATTGTATATCCAATTTACACAGGTACCCGCAACGTCTTACTGGATATGAAGTACCGCTGAGAAAATTGATCCTCAGTTTGAGCAGTCGTCCAGATATTACTTGCAACGCCGGGTTGTTGTGAAGACCGACCATCAGCAAGGAGCGTGAGAGTCGACTACCGGGTTGATTATATCACATATAAAATTACTTATGACGAAAAATCCAGGTTATAATGGATATCGTATGTCTCAAAGCAAAGCTTCACATTGCCTGCGAAACAAAGACCTACAATTGATATCGCTCACAATCAAAAGTTCAGAGCTATTATGATGCTTTTATATTTATATAAGCGCTACAGTACAAGCAAACACCCCGTTAATTGGATATAGACATTTGCAGCAATGTCTGTGGAACTCTTCGCAAGGAATACTCTCCACCTGAGGCAATGGGGCCAACTTTTGACTTTGTATTTACCTAGTTTGAATAATAAACTCGGAAGGATTATCGGCACATACACCGTATGTGGACAGAACCGAAGCCAAAAAATCAATAAGAGAATCATATATACTGTGATGTGTCATATACCTGTTTTCGTTGCTGTTGTGAGATAACGCGTTTCGTGTTGCCATCTCGGTAAATTGACTATCACACATTTTCAATTTACTATGAGCTCTGCTGTGTGCAATTTAGAGGGCTATGCATAGATTAGCTCAATTTCGATAATCGCAATGCGCTCCCGTTCTATATTCATCGTATTATGGATGCTACTGTGTGGCAATGTACATGCATTTCTAACCACTGCTGCATGTATGACAGCCTGTAATGTTCAAGCTATGGCTTGTTATGCGGCAGCCGGAGCTGTTTTTGATACTGTGACTGCCGGTGTAGGGACACCTGCGGCGATCCTGGCCTGCAATGAAGCTCAAGGTATGTTATATTATGCCCCGTACATCACTAAGTGAAATAGTGCCTACAGATTTTGTGTGCCTTAGGTAGTAGGAACAATGTGTGCTTCGGTAGAACGACACCTACATTGTGAATATACGAATCTGGTATTTGCAGCAGTAGCGCATGCATATCATTAGCATTGTGAGGTCTGAAAGGATTCAATATCCTAAAAACACTCGCAGGCGCTTGTATGACAGCTTGCGCAGCTTCGTTTGGCCCAACTGACGTGTTAGGGGTAGCTGCCGTTATTGCCACAAGGAGCATTGATTGCCGGTTCAATGAGCGATAGAAAACTGCAGGAGCGTGAAAAGCTGAGCATAAAGTAAGAGAGCTTGAATTTGAGCAATGGGCAAGCCAATTTTCAGAAGAAGGCTATGGCTAGAGAGTTTGGAATTGAGATCAAGCTCATCAAGGCATGTTGGAGAGCTTGATAAAAATGAAAAATGCAAGATTATATATACTATATATACATAATGGTAGAGTTCGGCCACACTACCTCAACCCTAAGCATTTCTCTACCGGCAACCAAAGCCGTGCTGGCATTACTTGAAGAAATTACGCGAAGTGGACGATACTAACTGTATTTACAGTCTCAAAACTTACTTGTTGGCACAGGTAAAAATGTCCGTAGCATGTCTGTCTTCAGTACATGGAAGCAATCTGTGTATGAGAGTGGATTGCACAGCCTGATAGGTGTCAGTATGGATGTGATGATAATGCTCCAGAATAGACCGTATCGGATCCTTAAACATGAGAGTTTTGTAGTTCATTCAGCGTCGTGCTTTTAAAGCACATCCCTTGCCATCACTACATGGTGATGCACACCAAGTAATGAAGTATGCTTCGACCACCGGGTTGAAGTCCCACGTATAAAATTATTAAAGTAAAAAAATCCAGGGCAAAATGAATATCGTATGTATGTCTCATAGCAACGCTTCAAGCTGTGCAATGATAGACTCTTTTCGAGCCTGCAAAATAAAGACTTGCAATTGATAACACTCCCAATCACGAGTTCAGAGCTAAGTCTAATTCTTTATATGATGTTCTTTTATGTCCACAAGAGTATGAGTACAAGTACAAGATTAGGATCGAAAAACGTCGGTACACACAGGTGATATATATGGCCTCGATATCATTTCAGGTCGACTGGCGACTGAATACGATCGGGGTACAAATATCGCATCCCCAAAAAAATGCACGCGCAGCTATAAATCAACTTAGTCGCAACCGTATAAAACCTTGGTCAGTTTAAAAGGCATAGCTGTAAGGCTAAATGTATATGCTTGACACACTCGTGGAAGTTTTAGGTGAATACGAGTAATAAGTTACAATGAAGTTCACTATGCTCGATATATATATATATATATATATATATATATATATATATATATATATATATATATATATATATATA